CGCGGTGACTGGTCCCGAAGTGGGATCAGCCAGCGCCACAGAAACAGGCGCAGGAAGAGGCGTAAGTGTCGTGCTGTCACGAAAGAAGCAGTGAGAAGCTCCAGAGTCCAGCGTGAACGACAGCGAACCGTCCTCTGAGGTAGCCGCTGGACTAGAGTCTACACAAGAACCTACACTAGCAACAGGCAACTGAGCAAGGCTAGCACCTAAGCTAACAACACCAGAGTAAGCAGAGTCAGAAACACTAGAGTCAACAACAGCATACATAGCATGGGGAGTACCAATCAGATCAACTAACTGCTCAGCAGACATGCCCCACAGAGCGGAGCCGTAGCGCTGAACAAGAGGCAGCCAGTCAGGGGCAGGAGCACCAACCCCGTAGACCAAACGAACCGTGTCAGTGAGCTGAGCAAAGCACTGACCAGGGGGGTGAAACCGGCCACAAGGGTGGCCACGACGAGGGCCTGTCAGAACCTGGTAGGTGCAGGGAGTGTAAGCAGCACCGCGCTGGGTCTGACGCAGCCCCGACCCTGGAGCCAGCTGCTGCCGCTGCTGCTGCTGAGGCTGCTGGGAGGAGAGGGGCTGCTGGTGCTGCAGAAGCTGCTGCTGACGCTGAGCCTGGTACCACGCCGCTGCTCCACCAACCGGGGCAGGAAGTACAGGAGGCGACTGACGAACTCGGGCGTCGCCACCACTAGCAGGCGCAGTGGAGTCACCAGTCACTGCACGAGGCGCCTCTCCAGACCCTGAACCTCCACCGCCGCCAGGCGCAACGCCACCTCCACTACCTCCGCCTCCACCTCCACTACCACCACCAGAACCGCCTTTCTTGCCACTCCTACCGCGGGACCGCGACGCAGTCGTAACAGCAGCTGCAGTCGCGTCAGTAGCGGCAGTGGCAAGTGAGGCAGTAAAGGTGGGTAACTGCGGGACTGTGCACCCGTGGAAGAGTGGGGGGGGCACAGCACCAGAGGCGGCAGCTACCGAGCGAAGGTTGCTCTCGACGTCCTTGAGTGTAGACTCAAGGACATCGACGGTGAGCTCACTAGGGTGCTTCAGCAGAAGCGCGTCGCGAACGGAGGCAAGGCGGTCAGGGAGGCTAGTGGCGATGAAATAGATAGTAATCGCCATGGGAGGAGGAAGCAGTGCAAGCTGTGCCTCAGTGCAAGCAGCGCGGTAACTAGCGTCGAGCGAGCGGAGGTGAGCGATCAAGTCAGCAGAGCGCTCAAAAGACGCTAGGTCAGGAAACAGGAACGGGAGGAACAGGCGGCCAAGAGAGACAGCAGCGGGAGAAGAGTAGCGGGCCTTAATCGCAGTGAGGTACTCAGCAGCGGTGCGAACCTGAGTGAAGTGAACCTCCTCAGACTCAGGGAGGAGGCTGCTGAGCGCGATGCAGGCCGCAGCGTCACGTGACGTCCAAGCCGTCTGGTCAGCTCGCTGAGTGGCAAAGCGGGCTCTAGCGGCTTCGTCAGGGGCAGGTCCTAAAGGCGTAGGGTCGGGGGGCGCAGGTAGGGCACCAGTAGCGTGCGCCCAGAGGGTCTCGCCTGCCTGGACCTGACTCTCTAACAGACGGCGAGCACGAAGAAGCCAGACGGAAAAATCAAGAGGTCTACCGTCAGCGTCGAAACGAAGCACACGCGGAGTCGCCATAGCGAGAACTAACGCTAGGGATACAGTGGCAGCGGAAGAGCAGGCTAGGGTTAAGACGACGGGCTGGGTTTAGGGGCGAGCCGCTACAGGGGAAAGGGCGGGCCGCTACAGGGGAAAGGGCGGCCGCTACAGGGGAAAGGGCGGGCCGCTACAGGAGGGGAAGGGGCGGGCCGTGACGGAGGGAAAGGACGGGCGGGACGCGACGGGGGGAAAGGGACCCAACGGGGGGGAAAGGACGGGCGGGACGCGACGGGGGGAAAGGGGCACGACGAGGGGAAAGGACGGGCGGGACGCGACGGGGGGAAAGGGACGCGACGAGGGGGGGAAAGGGCGGGGAGGACGCGACGGGGGGAAAGGGACGCGACGAGGGGGGAAAGGGCGGGGAGGACGCGACGGGGGGAAAGGGACGCGACGAGGGGGGGAAAGGGCGGGGAGGACGCGACGGGGGGGGAAGGGACGCGACGAGGGGGAAAAGGGCGGGCAGGACGCGACAGGGGAAAGGGACGCGACGAGGGGGAAAGGGCGGGCAGGACGCGACGGGGGAAAAAGGCGCGACGCGACGGGGGGAATGGGCGGCGACGCGACGGGGGGAACGGGCGCGACACGACGTGGGGGGGGAACGCGACGCGACGGGGGGTAAGGGCGGGCGCTACGGAACGAGGGGAACGGGTGGCGCGGACGGGCGCTAGGATTGGCGCTAGGCTCGGCACTACGCGCGGTAACAACGGAACCGGGACGAATGAGAGCTAGGATCAGGCTCGGGAGGCTCGAACGGAGAACGGAGGAACGGGATCCCACAGGATCCTAACCTAACTGATACCATGTCAAAATGAAGAATGGATGATGCATTGATGTTGGTTGGGGTACATATAGCTAACCCTAAGTTTTGTACCCCCTAAGACAAACCTCACTATAGGCTACAACATTTGACACTATAGGGGCAGGTGAGCTGCGGGGAGGGGCGGGAGAGGCGGGTCACAGGTGGGTCGCGGGGGAGGGGGAGGGGCGGGAGAAGCTGGTAGGTTGGGAGACGTGGGCTGGGGGAAGAAACGAGGTGGGCAGGCAGGCCCTCAGATATCAGGATAAATTATCCTGATTACCCTGATTTCAGGATAGAGTTGGGGTGCCAGTGCTGGAAAATCAGGATAACATAAAATACAGCCCTGAACTTTCAGTATTAGGCTGTATCCTACACTGAGGAATTAAGATAAAGGTGTACCTGTAACACTGAACAGTAGCACAGAAATGTCTTATAACAAGAAAATCACGTTCGTTCACACAGTCCGCTATGCGCGACGCAAGCGGGAATCGATCTCCATACTTCCACTGTGACAATTCGCAGATTCAAACAACTAGGCCATGACCGAGCTGCACGGAAAACCGTGCTGATATTTGTTTTCTTAATCATGAAACTTAATTTAGCCCTGAAAAATCAGGGAAACCATTACATCCAGCGCTGAAGCCTCAGGATAAAGTTTTATATTTTAGGATACAGCCCTGATAGGTCAGTGTACCATGAAACCAATCTGAGGCCCTGTGGGCAGGGCTTGGTAGGGGAAATGTGCGACCAGTTGGGGCGAGAAATTGAGGTGGCTGGGGGGCGGCGTGAGAGATTCGGGTGAGCCGGGGGGGGGTGGGTGGGGCGATCAGCACATTTCAGGGATTTAGCAAGGGTCCCGTTAGTAGACCTACAAGATCAGCGTACACTCACCAAAGTTGTCTGAAAAAACAGACAAGATACAAAAAAGAAGGCTGAAAAATCAGACAAGGTACATACAAAAAAACTTTGAGTCCAGCCTAGGTACCAAAAAAAAGTCCGAATGAACTCTGAATCAGCGTAAAAAGTCTGATATCTAGGGCACTGACCCCCGGACATCTATTAATTACAAAAAATGGACTGTAAGGAACAATGTTCAGGGAAATTCAGAATTTTTTCCTGCGAACTCGAGTTTAGCTCAAAACGAGGTGCGTATCGCCACATTCGCGCATGCCACGTGCCACACATTTGAGAATGACGGACGGCAGCAACACCAGTCACTTCTGGGGCCGCGGCATCGCGCCTCCTGATTGGGGTCTGAACCACTCGCATGACTGACGCGTCTATAACCATGTACAGTAATGTATGAAATAGTTCAAGTTTGGTGTTTTAAGTTAATAAATATTGGAATTTTTGAAAAAAAAAACGGGGAAGAGGGGGGGTCTTATATGAAATGGGGTCAAAACACGGGTCCTCTACAGGACTGACATAATAAAAGACCCTTGGTCCGGATAAAGGACCCAGGGGCTAGTACGTGGGGGGGGGGTCTTCTTGCCGGGAGATTACGGTATTGAACTACTGAAATAGTGAATTTAATCTCAGCAAGTGTCTGTTGTACAAGTATGTCTCAACTTCACAACTGGTGGAGCATGAAATGTACGAGCCCACTAACTACAGCCTCCCCTACCACCCCATTAGCCGCATTCGGTTCTCTACTCCAGAAGTGCGGTGCATAAAAACACGTGTAATGCCGGTTTCCATAAGGGCAATTGCCCAGATAGTGAGGCATTTCAATCATCCACCCGTCGAAAACCGGCACTGAGGGCAGCGACAGCTGGGATTGGGAATTCTCTCCGTCACTGTTCCCAGAACCCTTTTCAGCACCCTTTCCAGCAGCCATGCTGCGCATGATTCGATTGAGTGCCATGATGCCCAGGTTGGTGGACGGGCCGACAGACGCGCTCGTATAATGCGCGCAGTGGTGGCCTGCATTCGGGAGGGGCGTCGCCGTCCGCAGCACCAGCGGCTTGCCATTTTGGGCGGCGAACTGCAACCCCCAGTTGAGGAACTCTGGGAGGTGGGCGCGAAAGGCTTTGATTGGCTCTCCGCAGAACCTATTTGTCCAGGAGCCGGCGTTCATGATGGTGACGTCAGCAGTGCGAGAGAGGACGTCTGGGAATGAGTTGGAGTGGTTGCTGGTTTTGCCTCTGTCACTGTCGGGGTGTTCGAGGGAAGGGGAAGGGCAGGAAAGGGCGGAAGGTGGAGGGGAAGAGGAGGGGTTTAGGATTATTAATGATTGTTCTTATAGCAGTCAGTGACGTCAGCTGAGGCGAATGTGGAGGTGTGGGAATGAAGAGGAAGAGGAGGGGTTTAGGATCCTGTATCCCAGCTCCACACTCCAGCTCCACACTCCCAATGCTTGTGGATGATGGGCTGTGATGAGGTGCAGGATAAGGAATGCCCAAGGGTTTCAGAGGTGGGGGAGGTGGGAGAAGAAACTTGAGATGGCATCACTTCACGGTCACACCCACCCATGGTCACACCCACCCATGGTCACACCCACCCATGGTCACACCCAACCACCTCCGCACACTCACCCGCAGCCAAACTCCCCGTTGCGGTAGATGCCATCAACCCAATACCAGTTGATTCTGAACGTCTCCCTTGTGCATTGGTGGAGCGGAAGGTGTAGTTGAAGCGGGGATCGGGCAATAAGGGCCCCGTGTCCCCCGAGAGCAGCACTGAAGTGCAGGTGGTTGGCCAGCCCCCTCTGGTGCGAGTTCCCCACTATGTTGATCTCCTCTATGCCCTTGCGCCGTAGATCCGAGATCCAACGGCTGGGAGGCGACAATGGCGGCGCACAGGGGAAGAACGTCCAGCTGGAGGGGCGGGGGTGGATGGGAGGGGAGGTGATAGAGGGGAGGGAGTGTGTTCTTTGAGAATTCTCAAAAAATGAAGGGAGGTGATAGAGGGGAGGGAGTGTGTTCTTTGAGAATTCTCAACAAATGAAGGGAGGTGATGGAGGGGAGGGAGTGAGAGGGAGGTGATAGAGGGGAGGGAGTGTTTTTTGAAATTTCTCAAAAAAATAAGGGACGTGATAGAGGGGAGGGAGTGTGTTGAGCAGGGTGAGATGGGGTGAGAGCAGGGTGAGATGGGGTGAGAGCAGGGTGAGATGGGGTGAGAGCAGGGTGAGATGGGGTGAACAGGGTGAGATGGGGTGACAGCAGGGTGAGATGGGGTGACAGCAGGGTGAGATGGGGTGACAGCAGGGTGAGATGGGGTGGCAGTGGGTGAGAGGGGATCACTCACGTGTAATTGCCAGTGCTGTCCCTCTTCCAGCGACCAGGGATGGATCCAGGTGTGCAGGACGTGGCTAGTCTGCTGAGGGAGGCAGCACCGTTACCAGCAGCACCATCTGTGCCTGCAGATGCAAAAACGCCCCCAGAAGCTGATTGTTCAGGCCAGCCAATAGAGAGACTCCACGTGGCAAGGTCATGGCGGAAGGTGGAGTTGAGATGGGCGGCAAAGTCAGGAGAGAAGTTGAGGTTTAAACAACCCACAGAGAGAGTGGCACTGGAATGGGGAGAGCAGGGGGGTGAGGAGAGCGGAAGAGTGATTGTGAGGGGGTGAGTGGGAAAGGGTGAGTGGGAAGGGTGAGTGGGAAAGGGTGAGTGGGAAAGGGTGAGTGGGAAAGGGTGAGTGGGAAAGGGTGAGTGGGAAAGGGTGAGTGGGAAAGGGTGAGTGGGAAAGGGTGAGTGGGAAAGGGTGAGTGGGAAAGGGTGAGTGGGAAAGGGTGAGTGGGAAAGGGTGAGTGGGAAAGGGTGAGTGGGAAAGGGTGAGTGGGAAAGGGTGAGTGGGAAAGGGTGAGTGGGAAAGGGTGAGTGGGAAAGGGTGAGTGGGAAAGGGTGAGTGGGAAAGGGTGAGTGGGAAAGGGTGAGTGGGAAAGGGTGAGTGGGAAAGGGTGAGTGGGAAAGGGTGAGTGGGAAAGGGTGAGTGGGAAAGGGTGAGTGGGAAAGGGTGAGTGGGAAAGGGTGAGTGGGAAAGGGTGAGTGGGAAAGGGTGAGTGGGAAAGGGTGAGTGGGAAAGGGTGAGTGGGAAAGGGTGAGTGGGAAAGGGTGAGTGGGAAAGGGTGAGTGGGAAAGGGTGAGTGGGAAAGGGTGAGTGGGAAAGGGTGAGTGGGAAAGGGTGAGTGGGAAAGGGTGAGTGGGGAAAGGGGTGAGTGGGAAAGGGTGAGTGGGAAAGGGTGAGTGGAAAGGTTTGAGTGGGAAAGGGTGAGTGGGAAAGGGTGAGTGGGAAAGGGTGAGTGGGAAAGGGTGAGTGGGAAAGGGTGAGTGGGAAAGGGTGAGTGGGAAAGGGTGAGTGGGAAAGGGTGAGTGGGAAAGGGTGAGTGGGAAAGGGTGAGTGGGAAAGGGTGAGTGGGAAAGGGTGAGTGGGAAAGGGTGAGTGGGAAAGGGTGAGTGGGAAAGGGTGAGTGGGAAAGGGTGAGTGGGAAAGGGTGAGTGGGAAAGGGTGAGTGGGAAAGGGTGAGTGGGAAAGGGTGAGTGGGAAAGGGTGAGTGGGAAAGGGTGAGTGGGAAAGGGTGAGTGGGAAAGGGTGAGTGGGAAAGGGTGAGTGGGAAAGGGTGAGTGGGAAAGGGTGAGTGGGAAAGGGTGAGTGGGAAAGGGTGAGTGGGAAAGGGTGAGTGGGAAAGGGTGAGTGGGAAAGGGTGAGTGGGAAAGGGTGAGTGGGAAAGGGTGAGTGGGAAAGGGTGAGTGGGAAAGGGTGAGTGGGAAAGGGTGAGTGGGAAAGGGTGAGTGGGAAAGGGTGAGTGGGAAAGGGTG